TGCACCATCTGGGGGATGGTCATTCTTGAGACTCAGACTTGTGGGGGGAGGGGGGAAGGGCATTTATTGAAACCTTAAAAACTGTACCCCCATAATATGCTGAAATAAAAAAAATTGCCTAGATCTAGGTATTTTGTTATATTTTCATGAACAGACTTAGACAGAAATTGATAAGTAGTGGGGTGTTACTATAACAAATACTTAAAAATTTGGAAGTCACTTTGGAACTGGGTAATGAGTAGAGGTTGAAAAATTTTGGAAGTTTATGCTAAAGGAAGCCTATATTTCTCTGAACAGAGCATTAAGGATGATTCTAGTAAGAGCTCAGAAGAAGAGAAGAGCTGTGAGGATAGTAAAGCTTCTTAGAGATTACTTGAGACTACTTAAGTAATCTGAATGTGGTAGAGATATAGATGATAAAGTCGATTCTGATGGAGTCTTAAGTAAAAATGAGCAACATGGCATTAAAAACTGAAGGAAAGTCCATTCTTGTTATAAAGTGGTGAAGAGCTTTGCTGAATTGTGCACATTCCCTAGTACGCTGTGGAAGACTGAACTTAGCCATGAATTGGGATATTTGGCAGAAGATATATCTAAGGAAAGTGTTAAAGTTGAGACATGGCTTCTTTTGACAGCTTACAGTAAACTGTGAGACAAGAGAAATGTTAAAGACAGAGTATATAATCAATAGAGAAGTAGAACTTAAAGATTTGGAAATTTATCAGCCTGGATACATTGTAAACAATGAAAAAGCACATTCAAGAGGGAAAACCAAGGGTATGGTCAAGTAACCATTTAATAAAAAGATAAGTATAGGTAGAAGAAAATCAGATATTAGACATCAAGTTAATGAGAGAATGATCACAAAGTCATTTCTGAGATTATAATAACTACCACTCCCATCACCTTCCCATAGTGTCAAGGCCTGAATGACAAAACTATGTCAAAAGAGGGGCCTCAGTTGCCCTGAGGATCTTGGGATCACACCCCCAACTCTACCTCAAGTCTCTGATCCCTGCATTTGGGCATAGTGGTCTGTGACTGCCCCAGTTCAAGCATGCCCAGGTGCAACTAGGAAAGCCCTCCATATTGTACAGGCCATAAAACTTTACAGTGTCCACATGGTGCTAACTCTGCAGGCACCCAGAGTGCTTGAGCTGTGGAGGCCTAACTGCCTCTCCATAGATTGCAAAAGATGCCTGAGAGAGCCTGTGGTCCAGAAAGAGAACTGATATGGAATTAGGGCCACCAAAGAGAGTACTTACTATGGAAATGAACAGCAGAGCTCTGGATATGGAGCCACAAAAGATAGGTCCTATTTGGCCAATGTCTGGTGGAGTCATGGGGGCAGGGTTGCTCCCAAGATCCCAGAATTGGAGAGTCACCAATATGTGATTCCAGCCAGGTAGAACTACAAACATGAGGCTTCAACCTGTGAGAGCTGTTGTGTGAGCCATGTCCAGCAACACTATGAGGCAGGGTCATCTGGATCCTAGGAGTCCAAACCCCACACTAGTGTGTCCAGATGGCAAGAGGGGAGATCAAAGATTATTCTCAAACCTCAAGATTTAATATTGTTTTCCCTGTTGGATTTTGGACTTATCTTGGCTCTATTACCCCTTTCTTCTTACCTAATTCTCCCTTTTGTAATGGAAATGTATATACTATGTCACATTATTGTATTTTGGAAATATGTAACTTGTTTGATTTCACAGGCTTATATCTGGAGGAGGAATTTGCCACAGGATTAATCACATTTTGAGTCTTGCCTGTATCTAATTTAAATTTAAATTTTTGAAGCTACTGGGATAAAATGAATGTATTTTGTATGTGAGATCGACATGAATTTGGGGGACTCAGGGGTAGAGTACTATAGTTTAAGTGTGAATGTTTAAGTGTAAAATTCATATGTTGAAACTTAACCCCCAAAGTGATAATATTAAGAGGGGAAGCCCTTGAGAAGTAATTAGGCCATGAGAGCTCTGTTCTCATGAATGGAATTAATATCCTTATAAAATAGCCTTCAGAGAGCTGCCTCTTCCTTTCTGCCATATGAGAGCATCTAGACAGCATCCTCTATGAGGATAGGGCCCTCAACAGATAATGAACCTGATCATGCTTTGTTCAATTTTCAGCCTCCAAAACTGTGAGAAAGTTTCATTATTTACAGATTACCAAGTCTGTGGGATTTTGGCATAGCAGAATGAATGGACTGAGACACTAGGATTATGTTGTCTCCTATTTTCTGCTTCTTCTTGAAATTTTTATCCACCGGAATATATACTCATTACTTGGGGATAATATTTTTTTATCTGCGTATTCCACTTAATGATATTCTCTGTAAATTCCAGTCTTCCTTGTTTTTCTTAGTAGTTTTTTATTTGGAAAGATGTATACAATTTAAAATTTTATCATTTTTAAACTATTTTAAATGTATATAATTCAGTGGCATTGGGTTTACTCATATTTCTGTGCAACCATCATCACACTCAACTTCAGAAATTTTTCTTCCTCACAGACTGAAATTCCAAACCCTTTGAAAAATAACTCACTATTTCCTCCTATGTATAACTTCTGAGAACTCTTATTCTACTTTTGCCTTTATGAATTTGACTACTTTATGTACCTCATATAACTATTTGTGATTTTATGACTTATTTATTTATTTAATAAAAAGCAAATGTTTGTTTTTCAATTTGTTCCTCTTTAGCAGCTATTTACTTTGATTTTTTTTTTTTTTTTTAGTATTTGACATGAGATATTTATTTTGTGAAACAATGCAAGTGATTGTAAGTCCCCACATACTATTTAAGGTGCAATAGGGTACAGTCGTGTAATCTCTTTATACAGTAGTGCATCTAGTCCTTTGCCTTTAGTTATTGCACAAAAATTATAAAGACCAGTGAACAGGACACTGGCAGGCAAATTGGCCTACAATGAGAAATTAGAACAGTACACGGACTGGAATGGTCAAGCAATTTAAGTCAAATGTTTTAATGGTGCAATTAAAACAATCAAATAAGGATTCAAATATACTTTTTCAATATATTAATTTATTTAAGGTCATATTCAGGCAAAGAGTTACTTAAAAAAAACACTATTAGCTTTGTCCACAGATGAAAGTTATCAAAAATTACCCAAAGGTAATCTTGACATTGGAGTTTAAATAACCAAAAAATGTATTAAGTTTACTTCTTAAAGCAAATAATACAATTAGAGAGCCCCCAACCTTGTAAAATAAACATTCTGACACAAATGCACAAAATTAATTTGACAACATTAAAGAAAGGTCACATTAATTTTGAGTATGTAGTGTTGAGTAAACTTTTGGTCTTGACTTAGAGGGCAGTTCCACTTTTGGCCATCAGAATAAGAAACTGCCCACAAAACTCTCCCCAACCAATTAGATTAACAAAGCATTTAGATTCCTGTATAAAAGCTGGAGCACACAGGAAATGCCAGATGGGAAGACTGGCTCTGGCTTTCTGGCCCCACCCCATGAGAGGACAATCTAGTTGTGTGCAGTGTTGCTGTTTTCACATATGCTCCTGTCTCAGGAAAAATCAGAATTAGTTCGAAACCTGGTGATTGTACCTCATTGGTAAAAAGGCTTGGGATGGTTTGATCTCATGGCTCTGCCTAATGTTCACATAAATCCCACTGTCCCTACCCCAGCTGACAGTGTGTTAGTGTGTGTATGTTCTATGGCTGCTTGCTTCCAAAATGCACAATTTAATGTGGAAAAAAAGTTGCTTAACACCAATGAAAAGGTTCACAAAATTCCACTCCCCACCCTCCACACACGTCACCACATTGACATTCTCTAGGAATGTGGAGGGCTGCATACAAAGTTGCAGCCCTCTGTGCACCGTTGCCTGAGGAAAAGCTTTGGAGGAGTCGAGGAGGCAAGGGGAAGCCTTCTAGCTGTACAGCTTTGCTCTTAATGTGCTCATATCCTGATACAAAAACTGGTAGACTTAAAAAAGCAGCAGTGTGAATCACCTGTAACTTTAGGATTCACTGTGATGATTCTTCCATAGTCTCCTTTGCCAGGTCAAAGCTTTGTAGTAGGCAGTCCAGACACCTGTCACTGGATGCAGGGAATGACACCTCACAGTGGAATGGGCACGGGCAGGCAGAGGGCAGAAGCAGTCCTTTAAGAAACAGTGGCTGTGGCACATTAAAGGCCAGTGCTACAGCACAGATGGCGACCAAGAACCCCACACCTTGAGCTTGATCTCATAATACTAGGAACGTCCAACGTCCAACGTCATCCATCATGGCTGATCTGCTGCCTCCACAGATGGGTCTTTCAGGAGGCAGGAAGTGGAATGAGGGTCCATGGCTGAGTGCATTATGGGGATATAACATCATCCATGTTTGGCATGACAAAAACTTTCTGAAACTCCCTGCTCCAGTTTCTTCTCTATCCAGTCTGTCACGTGAACTAAAGTTATTTCTCTCTCTCCAAGTTTTGGCTGAGCTTTCAGCTCTACATATGGTGGCCTCTGGAAACCATACCATATTCGGTCAGTTGGGGGTGGTGGAATGTTGACCGCCAAGGTTCCTCTACATTCCTGTACTTAAACAGTTAGCAGAAGGGGTGTATTGGAGAGTTTGAATTTTTAAATTTTGAAATAATTTTATATTTACAGAAAAGTTGCGAAAAATATTTAGAAATCCCTGACATCCTTCACCCAGTTTCCCTAACATCTTTTTTTTAGTTAAAATGTGATTGATTTATTTTACTGAGTCTTACATAATGTATTCACAGTTCATCCATGTAGTATGTGTCAGACTTTCCTTCTTTTTAAGGTCCTAGAACCGGAGATGAACATATTTTTTTTTTCATTTTAAAGAGTTTTAATATAGGATGTTAATATTGAGGACACTTCAAAACACCTTATACTTCTAAGCAGATTTTGGGTAACTGGTTTTAAAGTGTTACTTGAGTGTTTTTCTCATACTGGTTTTCAGGTAAAAGTACTACTCAGTGACTGTTTAAGAGATGTTAATTTGACTAAACAGTTTATTCTTAATAACCTGAGACATCAATCCATGGATAGCTTCTATGGTAGTTTTACAGCTGTCTCTCATACCTTTGGCAAGTTTGTATTCTGGCTTCGGTGATGTGTTTCTAAACCCAACATGAAACTCCCTCGTCCCAGCTGGGCTTCTGACTGCTCTAACTTTTCAGACAAATCCAAGGCCTGATCAGTGGTATAGTCTGCATTAGTAAGCAAGCTGGAGGAACTCAGCGTGTTCACCCAATATTTATTCCATAAAAGTTCAAGCAATTTGAGATCCAAAGAGGATTTGAAATATGAGATTTCTAAGGCATAATATTGTTTGCAGTGTACACCAAAGTCTTCTATTTTATTAAGTGGGATAGTCTGGTACTCAGAAGGTCTTTCATCAGGAGGTTTGTAGCCCTTTGGGTATGTCCTAAAGGCGCCAAGTTTCACTTTCCCTGCAGATGTTGTTCTTGTTGGATCAATCACCACTGCTACAAATGGTTCTTGGAACTGCTGATTGAGCATCTGAGTACTAACATCAATCCCAGAAAGCCAGCAGCCATAGCCAGGCTGGCTATGATACCAACCAATTGCATTTTCATTTCATTTCATTTATATTCCATTTTATGTATACACCACATTTTGTGTATCCATTCATGTGTCAATGGACACTTGTATTGCTTCCACCTTTTAGCTGTCACAAATAATGCTGCCCTGAACACAAGTGTAAATATTTCCTTGATTTTTCACTTTAAATTCTTCTGGGTATCTACTCAGGAATGGAATTGCTGGAATATATGGTACTTCTATATTTAATTATTTGAGAAACTGCTATACTGTTTTCCACAGTAGCTGTGCCATTTTACATTTCCATCAGCAATGCACAAGCATTCTAATTTCTCCACAGTATTGCCACCAGTTGTTATTTTCTCTCTCTCTCTCTCTCTCTCTCTCTGTGTTTAATAATGATCATTATAATGAATGTGAGGTGGTTTCTCATTAAGGTTTTGATTTGCATTTCTCTATGTATTAGTGACCAAATTGTTCTTCTTCAATATTGCATTGGCTATTCTGGGTATTTTGCCTCTCCATGTAAACTTTACAATCAGTTTGCTGATGATCACCAAATAATTTGCAGAAATTTTGATTAGAATTGCACTGAACCTATAGATCAAGTTGGGAGAACTGATATCTTGACAATATTAAATCACCCATTCATGAACAAAAATTATCTCTCAATTTATTTAGTTCTTTGATTTTATTAATCAGAGTTTTGTAGTTTTTTCTCATAAATATCTTGTACATATTTTGTTAGAATTATACCTAAGTATTTTATTATCAAGGATCCTAATGTTAAGTGGAATTATACTTTCAAGTTCCACTTGTTCATTGCTGGTATATAGGAAAGCAATTTACTTTTTATATTAATCTTATATTGTATATTGCAACCTTGCTATAATCACTAATTAGCTCGAGGATTTTTTGTTGCTGTTGTTGATTATTTGGATTGGCTATAATATATAAATGATCATGTCATTTGCAAATAAAGGCAATTTTATTACTTCCTTCCCAGTCGGTATAATTTTTTATTTCCTTTCTTTGTCTTATTGTGTTAACTAAGATTTCCCTACAATGTTGAAAAACAATAGTGAAAGGGGCATTTTTGTCTTTTTAATGATTATATTGGGAAGCTTCTACTTTCTTACCATTAAGTATGTTAGCTGTAGGTTTTCTGTAAATCATCTGTCAAGTTGAGGAAGTTCCCCCTATTTCTAGTTTACTGAGTTTTTTCTTTTTTTTTTTTTTTTTTTTTTTTTT